CCCAACACTGCCTTTACATGACCTATAAACCTCAGACAGATACACTAAGGCCAACACCCCGTCACTTCCAAATCCCAAAGATGGCTGGTCAATGTAAGTTGGTCCTGCTTCAAAAACCCCAGAACTCTAGATCTGCAACTTAGAAGAAGACAACCCCCTGGCAACTGGTCTGGAGAACTGAATCTGAGGAAGGACATACTCCCCTAGTTAGACCCAAAGACCACTCAGGCAAGTGGGACTAAAAGAACTCTGGCTCTGTTTCTAAGATGCTCCTTTCTGCATGGGGAGGCAAAATGGCATGGTGGTTACAAAAATGGGCTTTGGTGTCAGACAGACAGAAATTTAAATCCCAGCTCTGTTGCAGGGCGCCTCGTGGCTCAGTCGGTTGAGCATCCAACTTTGGCTCAGGTCCTGATCTCACGCTTCATGAGTTTGAGTCCTAAATTGGGCTTCCTGCTGTCAACACAGCCTACTGCAGATTCTCTGTCCCCCTCTCTCTCTGACCCTCCCCTGCTCATGCGCTCTCTCTCTCTCTCTCTCTCTCTCTCAAATAAACATTAAAAAAAAACCCACAAAACCCCAAGCTCTGTTGCTTGCTAGCTGTCCATTTGTGGGCAAAGAACTAAATAGAGCCTCAGTTTCCTCATGTATAAAAATGCAATGGACTTAAGAACCTATGTCATGGGTTTGTTTTGAAGATAAAATGTGATAATCCATGTAAAGCACTTAACATGGTGCCTTGACACACAATAATAGTTCAATAAAATTTTTTCCAAATCTGTGATTAAGCCTAAGAATCATTTCCTTGTTGGCCAAGAGCCTTGCTGCCAAGTCCAATTATCTACATGGAAAAAAGGCTTGCGGTTTTCTGACTATAATGAAATGGGCATATATGCAAACATCCAGATTAGTTTCACTCCCTCTCACTGGAATAACCCTAGGCCTTTGATTCAAAAAGTTAATAAATTCTATGGATACACCATGGAATCAAATGCTCCCAAAGACTCAGAAATGAATTGGGGTTTTTGGGCTAGCATGATCTCAATTTCAATGACAATTTACGCCCACCCTTTCTCTCCTAGCCTCCTGGGACTCCCAATATGCATATGTTGGTTTGCTTGATGGTTTCCCACAGGTCTCAGGGTCTCTGCTCATTCTTCCTTATTCTTCCTTCCTTCTGTTCCTCAAACAGGATAATTTCATTTGATCTATCTTCAAGTTCACTGATTTTTTTTTTTCTGCTGCCAGCTCAAATCTGATTTTGAGCTCTCCAGTGAATATTTCATTTTAGTTAGTGAATTCTCAATTCCAGAATTTCTATGTGGTTCCTTTTTGCCCCTGTCTTTATTTATATTTTTACTTAGTAAGACACTATTCTCTACTTTTCTTTCATTCTTTAGGCATGGTTTCCTTTAGTTCTTTGAGTGTATTTATATTGTTGATTTACAATCTTTATTATGTTCAACATCTGGGCTTCCTCAGGAACAGTTTCTTTTAACTGTTTTTTTCCTTTTCCTCTTTGTGTATGGGCCATACTCGTATGTCTCACAATCTTTAGGTGAAGCTGGACTTTTTAAATACCATATCAACTCTGGAAATGAGATTCTCCTCCCTCGCCAGGATCTGTTGCTGCTGTTTGTTTAGTGATTTTCCTGGACTAATTTTGTAAAGTTTGTATTCTTTGTCATGTGCAGCCACTGAAGTTTCTGCTCCATCAATTTAGTGGTGAGCTAATGTTTAGACAGAGATTTCTTTAAATGCCTTAAACTAATTAGTCTCCACCTTTGCCCAGGACATCCTCTGTGTGGGGGCTGGGCCTCTCCTTCCAGGCTCCAGCAGGCACGTGACAACTCTGCCTTAGCCTTCACTTCCTCCTCGCGTAGAGCCTCAAGGTGGGCCAGAGGTGAGAGTTTAGGGCTTTCTCAGATCTTCCCTGGGCAGGTGCATGTGGACTTCTAGATTCCTAACAATATGTCAGAGGTTTCCAAAGCCCCTCTGGACGTCTCAGTCTCTAGATTTTCCTTGCAAGATTTTTGGCCAGCCTCCTGTTTATCCCCAACTGGTATTATTCCCTTAGGCAGCTATGATGTTAAACAGGGATTGTTTTCAACAAATGCCCTGGAAATAGCGTTTTTCCCACAGAGCAAGCTCTGAGTCAGGTTAAATAAAGGCAAGTCCTCTGAATGGGGTTCTTCTAAGGAACTGTCAGATATCAAATAATCACCTAGGGATGGGGCTTTTGGGAGAGCTCCAAAATTGTTTTTGCCCCATCCGGTGGTTGTGAGGCTGCTGGTTCTAAGTTCTCACAACTACCACGGCTGCGAGGCTGCTGGTTGTCAAGGCTACCACAGAGACTGGGAGAGGCGGATTGGAATAGGGCAACTTAAAACACAAAGCTCACTGTTCTTACCATTATTCAGCCATTTTTTCTTAAATAAATGTCCCTTGGGCTGTTGCAAGCCTTTGTTTCAGAGTTCTGAAAATTTGATTTTGACAATGTTTGCCGGTTGTACTCTTTGCTTTATGATAGAACAGATTATCCAAGGTCCTCACTCCACCATTCCAGAAGTGCCTCCCTATCTATTTCCTGTGTGATCATTTAACCCAATAGATGAGTGTCCAGAAGTTTAAAACCACTCTGCCAAATTAAAGACCATATAAGCAAACAGCCATGCAAGAGGGAAAGAGGAGGAGTTGCTTTGCTCCCCTGACTCTAGAATGAGATCATTGCCCAGTTATCACCACCATCATCATTCTCTTCCATAGGAAATATTTATGAAGCACTCATCTGCCTCAGAATCCCAAGGGAGGCCCCAAAAACCCTGTTATCAGATGCAATAAGGTTTATGGTCATCAAAGGTCAACACACTTGAGATGTTTAACTCAAGGGAAAGCGAAAGTTCTTGGAACCATGGAATCCTCAGTAAGAAAGGGATCCCAAAGGTCATCTGGTTTTATTGTCCATCTATACAGCCTGATACTCTCTACAATATCCCCACTAAGTGACTGGTCCCATCTACACTTGAATACTTTCCAGTGATGGGCAACTCATATAACTTCTTTAGTTGGGCATCTTAAATATTGGAAATTTTGTCTTTATATTGTGGTTGAATGCAGAGACGTATTCAGAACTGAAAAGCCGGAGAGAATGAGAAATGGAGACCTGAGACCTTGAAGACCCATCTAGCACTTTTCTAGGTGAGAGGTCGCTTATTTTTTTGTGAATGACTGAAAAACAGGTGTGTGCCTCTACTGGGGATGATACTACCTCTTACCTAGTATCTCAGCAGATTAACACTTTAATTTAGATAAAGTGCATGATAAGCCTAACAGGAAACTCTGACACAATTCTAGAAATGGGTATAGGCATTAAGCATGTAGACTTTGCAGTTAGATAAACCTGTCTTTGCATCCTGACTCTGACAATCCGAAGCTGTGCGTTCTTGAGCTACTTACCTAATCTGTCTTGAGTTTCAGCTTTCTCATCTGTTAAATGGGGATGTGACGGGAGTCCAATAAAATCATACATGAAAGGTCTTGGCACATAGTAAATGCTGTTGTTGCTTTAAAATTCAAGGTTTGCGACCCATCAGAAAATGTAAGGTTATCGCCAACTGGGATTTCACCGAACATAAGTTATGTCAAACCAATCTCATTTCTTTTTTTCTTATGGTTACTAAGCATGTTACACACTTGTTGACTCTTGATTTTAATCAAACGAACTACTAGATTAAATGGCCAAATGGAGGCTGGACAGCCGTATAGCTGAATGGGTCTGTAAAGACCCTCTTTAATGGAATGCCACGAAGCTCCGCCCTTGCCCCTGTCTGGTCCTCCATTCTTAGTAAAGGTTGGAAAGGAGCCACAGAAAACACCATGTTGGAAAGGCAAGCTGGGGCACCTGGGTGGCTCAGTCGGTTAAGCATCTGACTCTTGATTTTGGCTCAGGTCATGATCTCGCCATTTGTGAGATTGAACCCTGCGTCAGGCTCTGGGCCGACAGAACGGAGCCTGCTTGGGATTCTCTCTCTCTCCCTCTCTTTCTGCCTCTCAGTCTCTCAAAATAAATAAATAAACTTGAAGGAAAAAAAAAAAAAAGGAAAGCCAATACACCAGCATAAATGTGCAAATGTATCTTACCAAAAGCCAAGAAAGTAAAATGAAACAGGGACATTGTCTCGCATTCAGGTAAAAAAGGAGTCAGTGTTACAAGATGAAGGAGGGTTGGTTGAGGAGTAGTTCCTGTGGCAACATTCATGTATGCACTGATTCATTCTTCATTCATTCATTCATTCACTCACTCAACAATTGTTAGAGTATCCCCACCAGGATGGCCACTGCTAAAGAACTATAAAGATGAAAAGCCATAAATCTCCACTCCTAGGGTGTTCACAGTCTAGTGGGAAGACAGACCTGGAAATGTTCTTTTTAATATTTTTTTATTATTTGAGAGACAGAGAGACAGAAGTGGGGGAGAGGCAAAGGGGGAGGGGGGGAGGGAGAGAGAGAGAGATAGAGAGAATATCTTAAGCAGGCTTCATACTCAGCACAGAGCCCAATGCAGTGCTTGATCCCATGATCCTGGGATCATGACCTGAGCCAAATCAAGAGTCAGACTCCCAACTGACAGAGCCATCCAGGCCCCCTGGAAGTGTTTTGTTTTGTTTTTTTTAATGTTGAGTGTTAAGATGTACCAGGAACAGCACAATAAAAGAGGTAAAGGTCACCTAATACTGCTTTATAGCAGTGATACTCAGGTGAGACTTGGAGAATCAGCAGGCATTTTTGCCAGACAACCTGATGTGGGAAGGAATGGTTTTCTAGAAGAACTTTACAGAACAGGCAAAGGCCCTGAGGCACAGCTGACTCCCTTGGTTGAGCCAAAGCAATGACTTTACACACACATTTGGGATTTGGAAAGAGTAAGACACACAGACACATCGGGCCTCTGGCCATACATTCTCAGTTTAAGGACGTTCCTGGACACATGTGCACCTTACCGTAGGTAATGACAAGCAGCACAAAGTTGAGGTTTCTGAAGAGCCGGACAATGGAACTTAAGTACGAAGCATCAGGGGACGCCAAGGCGTAGCTCAGGGATTGGGCCCTGCTGGGGGGATGTTTAGGCTTCTCCTTGAATACTGAAAGGAAAGAAACAGAGAGATCACTGCAAATCCTTGTAGCCCCACCCCTGCAGAGACAACACATGGACAGGAGCTGGCTCCCTCATCTGAGAATCAGCTAAAACGCAAAAAGGCAATATTAAATCTTCCATTAAATCCTTCAGCCCCTACTCTCTTGAAGCTGTTTCTCACTGCCTGTGGCTGAGTGAATGGTCCTTTGATGACTTTTTCTTTTTCTTAATGGCCTCTGGATGGTGCACTCGCTGGGCCTCCCAGGCAGTGTTCGAGGATCAAGGAGTCCCAAAATAAGCAGCAAATAACACACAGCAGAGCGCTGAAAGTAACAGACTAGTAGTACACGGGTAGAAAGGAAGTGAGAGCTGAGACTTTGGGATTAGTGAGCCCAGTGAATAGCTTAGCACCGCAGCCCCTCCTGGGGGGGACCGGACTGTGTTGCCCGTGCTTAGCCCAGAGCCTGGCACACAGCAGCCAATAAATACTTCCTGAATAAGTGAAAAGACCTTCTTGTACTGAAAAAACCTCGAGTCCATTCCCAGTTTGTCGGAGTCTGAGTCTGATACGTGCCTCATGAAGAGGCAAGAGGATTAATACACATACCCCTGCAGGAGTGGTCACCGTGACAGGAAGGACTGGGGAGCGACAGTGGGGAAGTCATTCATTTTATGTTCGATTTTCAGCACAGCTGGTACAATCGATTTGACGGCCCTGATTGCCGTTCAGTTCTCTGGGGGCAGATAAGTTTAACCAGCTGTTTGGCTAAATTGGCCCCAGTTGCACCCAGGCAAGCTGCATGTAGCCTCCCCCACATGCCATGAGAATGCCCCTAACTCCAGTTAGAGGAAGCTCTGGAACTGAGGCTTACTCCCTTGAAGATCAAAGAGATCTTCACCCCGCCCAGGAAACTTTCCAGCCCTAACTTCAGAGCCCTGCTTCTTCCTTCTCCAGAAATAGTCCCAGATAACTTCCTGCCATTAGAAACCATTCATCCATTGTCTTGCCTGTTCACCTCCCCTTGCAGCAGGGGAAAGAAAGCAAGGCAAGAAGTTATTCCTTCTCCGCAACAGCAAGTGTTTGTTCAAGGAGCTAGCAGCCACGAACCAGAATCCAGATCAGATTTTTCAATTCCTGACTCAATGGGCCACTATCTGGCTTGATAGTAAAAATGTGAGAACGTAGAAATGTCCTGCCTCCAAGGACTTCAAAGGCAAAGCCCCAGGCCCTCATCTGCTACAAACACAAGCATCCGAAGTTGGGCACATTGCAGTTTGAAACTCAAAGTCTGGTTGAGTAAGAGGGGCCCAGACCGGACTGTTCTTTCTGTTCTGTGGCTTTCACCCACAGCCCTATAGCTTCTCACCCTCCCAGAAACAGCAAGTCGTCTGCCCAAGATACCCCACCAGCTTTGAAAGGCCATCAGACATCAGACTTTCTCATCTTGGACCCCAGGGAGAGAATGCCTCAAAGAGAACGTGTGAATGAGCCACAGGATTATAAAACTGTGTTCACTCTGACGGTGACAATGGCAGGGAAGAGTGAAACCTTCATCCCGTGAGATGGAATGTTAGCCGATTAACCTTTAAAGACTAATGACTAACTGACAATGAAAGCCTCTGCTATGCTCTTTCTGAATTCATCACAGCACATGTAATATCACTCAGATGATAAAAGAGATTATAAAACGTATTAACCAATACCGCCATGATTAAATGCACATGCACATAAAACTAGTAATAGTTATCTGAGGTTGGTAGTTGTGATTAACTAGTACGGGTTAAGTTAATAGTTAGTTTTTTTTAATTTTAATTATTTTATTCATTTAAAACAAATGTTTTAATGTTTATTTTATTTTTGAGAGAGAGAGTGCACGAGAGCTCATGGGGGAGGGGCAGAGAGAGAGGGAAACACAGAATCCGAAGCAGGCTCCAAGCTCTGAGCTGTCAGCACAGAGCCTGACGTGGGGCTCGAACCCACAAACCATGAGATCACGACCTGAGCTGAAGTCAGACACTTAGCCAACTGAGTCACCCAGGCGCCCCTATTTTACTATTATTTTTTAAGTAAGTCGACCTACCACGTGGGGCTTGAACTCATGACCCTGAAGGGGGTGCTTAGCTGGCTCAGTCAGTAGAACAGAGGACTTTTTTTTTTTTTTTAATTTTTAAAAAACGTTTATTTAGTTTTGAGAGAGAGAAAGAGCACACGAGGGTGGGGGATGGGGCAGACAGAGTGGAGGACAGAGGATGTGATGTGGCTCTGCACTGACAGCAGCGAGCTCGATGCAGGGCTCAAACTCACAAACCATGAGACCATGACCTGAGCAGAAGTTAGACACTTAACCAACTGGGCCGCCCAGCCGCCCAGAACATATGACTCTTGATCTAGGAGTCATGAGTTAAACCCCGAGATCAAGAGTCTCATGTTCTACCAATTGAGCCAGCCAGGCACCCTGGTTATTCTTTTCTTTATGCTTTTTTTGTATTGTCTAGATAGTTCCCTAATGAGCATGTAGTCCTCTTATAAAAGTTTTTTTAAAGCCTCAAAAAACATGGTCCCCAGGCATTCTCACGTGAATCTACGAGACTCTTAGTGTTTGCAAATCAATTCTGTTTTATTTTGTTTTGTTTCAGAAATTTAAAGTATAGAGTTAGACATAGACAAGGTTAGGCTTGAATCCAATCTCTGCCACTTACTAGCTATCTAATCTTGAATTTTTTACTTACCTCGCCTTAAGTCTCCTTTTCCTCTTTGTTCAATGGGACTGATAAGGGTACCTTCACTCATAGGGCTGTTGAAGATTCAAGGAGATCAGGCATGCTTAGCACAGTGTCTGTGATATATATCATAAGGACTCACTGGGGCTTCATCAAGAGGGTCAGCAGCCTGCCCGTTAATTCTGGTGAGGTTTTATTGGGGAACCGGTTAATTACAGTTACACCTTTACTGAGCAGCTAATAAAGTACACGGGACCAGCTAGCACTGTATTGGCTAAGATATCTGAAGACCATTAGAAGCCTGACCTCCAGTTTCTATAAATGTCCATGGCATTCTAGGGCCATGTTCACAAGGCCCCCACCCAAGTCAGCAGAACCTCCCTGCCTCCTGTCCCCCCATCAGTGTACTAACGACCTTACCGATGATGACAAGGATGAAAAGCAGAGTGGCCACGCCTCCTATTATGTAAAACATGATGCTGATGTGGTAGGCAAGCTTGTCCTGGTCTTCGATGTTGGGTACCAAAACAGGAGGGACCAAGAACCCAATTGCAATTCCAAGCTATAGAAGACAGAGACAATCAATCACAGTTTCCAACAGCCAAGAGGTGACAGCACAGATTTAAGGAGACTCCTGATAAGAAACATAAACCCTAACTTCCAGTCCTTCTTAAAACCCAAACAGGGATTGTTTCCCCCTCTCAAAATACCAGAGAGATCTTTCTTTTGATTGACAACTCAACTCTCTTTGTTGATTGACAACATGCCCCTGACCATCCTAATTAGCAATACCTACTGAAAAAAAAAAAAATCATAGTTGGGGTTCTCAATACAGGCTGGCTCTTCTCTAGCTACCGACTAATGAACAATCGTTCCAATACTTCCATCTTTATAGTAGACCAAAAACAATGCTGATTTTTTTTTTCACTGAATTTTCATTTCACTGATCTGTCAACCTAGAGCTGAGAGACAGGTTGAGGGAAAAATTCTACATCCTACAACCCCAAGAACTTGCAATCTGTAGGAGATGACAGCCTAAAGTTGTTACCACATTCACAAATGTGAAAGCTTAAGTTCATTGGGTAAATAAAACTTATAATTTAGAAAGCATTTGTAGTGTGAAGTCACATGCCACTGCGTAAAAATATACACACAGGACACAGGGACATGAAAACTGGCTATAAACACACATATACACACACACCAACAAATTAACATATCTCATACCTGTCTTAGAGTTCAAACTCCAGTGACCTGACAGATAACACGACTTGGGTGTTTCGAAGGTCAGAAATGCCCTGATTGAGTAGTGAATACGGGTGGCACAACTCCGGAAAGCCCTTCTGACACACATAACACCAAGGCAGAAATTGGAAAATAGCCTGAGAACTCAGGCAAGCCTCAAATTCAAAGAAAGAAGGAAGATGAGGAAATCTTTTGTCTTAAGGTCCCACTTGTCCGTTAGTGTACTTGAAAGGAACTGCAGGTAGAAAGCAAGATGCTTTCAGGCCACACTATAACACCATTCACCGGCTTCTGATCTGCTGACCACCTTGATTGGTTTTCCAGCCTGTCAGTTACAACCGCTTGGGATGGTGGTTCTCAGTTCCAGCATTGTTGCAAAAGTCATCATCAATAGGCTCAGAGTAGGGGTCTTCCAAGTATGCCAATATATAATCAAGAAATCAAACAGATCTTTAAAGCATCCACTATGTGAAAAAGTACTCTGCTAGATATTTTACCAAGGTACCAAGGTACCAAGGTATGTGACAGGGTTCACACCTTCAAAGAGCTTTATAATCTAGTCGGGCAGGGAGTTTAAAGCAGAGACACAAAAGATAATACAAATGGTGATATTTGTGGATTGAAATGATGCAATAGTATTGTTTGAAAGTTCCTTTGTCATCCTCTAGTACAACCTGATTATTAAAGGGCCAAGTGGCGGCTGAGTGAGGTTAAGTTCTGGAAGGTAAGTGATTCATTCAGGGCCACAGGACTTCTAGCAGAGTTGGGATGAGAAAACACATCTCCTGGCCTCTCAGGCCAGGGCCTCCTCCACTGGGCCTGGCACGGCCCTCCAGGGCTAAGAGCCTTGAGAAAGGGCCACATGAGCAGAATTTCCCAGAAGAGGAGATATTTGATATCCTTGGAGCCTCATCTGATCCTTGGTCACAATGATTTGCCAGAGTTGAATCTAGCTTCTTAAGTGCTTATCTCCAAGACTTTAAGGGGTAAAAGCCAGCCCTAGACAAAGGGACAAATATAACTGCCACAGCTCAGAAACAGGGCCCCTGCAGGTCATAGCTGGCCTCCTACACACTTCAGCGTTGGAGACTTAGACATGGAACAGAACCCCGGAAGGTCCCTCTTGCAAGAATGAGGGAAGATATGAGATATCATTCAAGGCTCTGTGATTCTTTCTTTCCCAAAAGGACCCTGATACAAGCTAACCAAGCCTCAGTAATCTTCTGCCTTGAGAAGTAAGTTCTCCCAGTTGGCTCCACACTACACACCTGATCCCTCAGAGACTGGACTCCATTCTCAGTCTATACACTAGGCCTGAGTGAGTGTTATTCTACCCCCAAATCCAGCATGGACACCTTCTCCACCCAGTAGGACACAGCAACCAGCTGTAGGGGCCTGTGGTGACCCAGCCAGATAGCAACACTGCCTCGGTACCCTTTCTCCAGGAGGAAACTGGCTTTGGACATACTTTCATGGGCATTGTGGAAAGCAAAAACATAGGGACTGGATTGTCAACTGCTGCCTCTTTTGTTTTTTCAAGACATATTTATTCCTGCTTCTTGAGAGTTGGGTTCAGTGAGAGGGTACAGCTCTACTCGGCTCCCACTTCTCAAGTCTATCCCCTGGTAGGTGCTCAGTCATGGTGGCTAGTTGGACAGATGGACGGATGAATGGACAGATGCTGGAAAACTCTCATCTACACAAAGCTGTCAGTATCACACAGGTCTGCCCACTAGGGTCCATGTTCTTTCTACAAACCACATTGGACTCAGAGTGGTAAGGAAATAAATATGTACAGGGGAGAGGAGGGAGGATGGCTGTCCATTTCTTGAGCATCTACGGTGCACTGGGTATCTAACAGAACTTATCCTTTTTATTTAACCCAAGAAACTTTACAAAGAAGACAACAATGAGAAACAATGATGGTCCACGGCCTGCCTAGGGTCACACAGGCAGCCAGTGGAAGAGCTGGCCTCCTAAACCAGTTCTGACTCTAGAACCTGACCTCACCTTCCATCTCCCATGACATGTTGGTATACTAGTCAACATGGAAGTCTGTATTTTCACCCATTCAAATTCTGTCATGAATTTTCAAGGACACCTCAAGGGTAAAACTCAGAGACCTGCAGCCCAAGTCAATACGAGATTAAATCAAAGAGATGGGAGGGTGCTACCCAGGCACCTCTCCTGCACTCACAAAACACAGACCCAGGCCATGAATGTAAATGATGAAAAGTCATCGTTAACCAGTTTGACTTGGTTTATGTCCTAGTTTTATCATCCTCAACAAAATATTAAGTCATGGGCAAAATACACAATGGGCAGTCAAACCGGTCTCAGTCTTAGCTCTTCAAGAGCTTACTCTTTAAAAATTGCTTTTAAAGCAGGGTTCGAAAAATAAATACAATACGATAAAAGTGGAGTTAGGTTCTCTTCATTTCTACAGAACCTATAGCAACATTTCCCAATGTCACCTGAAAAGGTCTCCAGCCCAACCCCATTGTGATCCTTCAGGTCTGGGGTTTGTCCTGAATACTTGTAATTTGCATATGTAGGCAATCCTTAATCACCCATCAAGGAAGCTTGGGTGACAGTTTGGGCGTGGGTCTCCCAATGGCTTCCATGGGGATAGGCTCCCGGATGTTCCCCCCCCCCCCACTCTGCAGCCAGTGTTATTTGCAAAAAGTGATTGGATTATGTCCTTCCTCTGCTTAAAGCCCTGCAGTAACTTCCCCTTGTTTTTAAATTAGGTAAAAACCTAAACTCACCCACAGGCAAAGTTCTGCACACAGGGTCATTTGGTCCTGGTCTGCTATTTGCTCCCTGGGACTCTATCACACCGGCCTCCTTTCTGTCTTTCAGATGTCCAAAGCATTTTGGACATGCCCAAGGATTTTACACCAGCTCCTCTGGCCAGACTAGAATGCCCTCCCGCTCCATTTTACCGGGTAAATGCAGACATCCGTCAGGCCTGAGCTCAAGCCGCACTTGTTCAGGGAAGCTTTCTCTGATGTCTCATCCAAGGTCAGGTCCCACACAGGTAGTTTTATATTTGTATGATTATTCAATGAACATCTGTCTCCCCAATAAGACTATAAGTTCCACAAGGGCAGGGCTCACATTTATCTCTAGAACCTAGCAAACTAATCAGTAAAATACGGAGCTTTTCACAGAGTACCTCAATCCTCAAAATAACCCCAGAAAGAGGGGTGTGTGACATTAACCCAATTTTATGGACGATGAAACTGAGGCACAGAAAAGTGAAGCGACATGCCCAAAGTCACACAGCTCTAGGTGGCAGAGCCTGAGTGTAAATACACAGTAGTTCTGTATCCAGAGCCTGTGAGTCTAATCAGTATGGTTCACTTCACCCCAAAGAAGGTGTTTAACAAAAATGCAATGAATCAAAGGATGAGAAGGCAGGCTGGGATGCTCAGTGTTCATTTTCTATTTACTTCTGCCCTTTCTGCAAACCCAAGGGTGATATCTAAACACCACTGCAGTGTCACTGGCATGAGTACTTCCAGAGCAAAGGTCACAGTCAAAAACACATCTGTGCAGCCTGAGGGGTCTGGGTAACAGCAAAAGGCCATACTCCGTGTAATGTGCTACTTGTCATTCTTGCTTATTACGCATTTGGCAGAGCATAAATAAACCCAGAAATCCGCCAGGCGGCATCGAAGAGGGTAAGATTTCCACACTTAATCCACTGCACAATACAACACGTGCTATGTTGCCTCTGAGATCCACGGAACCACTGTCCCCATCACCAACCACAATGGGGCATTCAACAAAGCCCCAAGTCACCACTGAGTCAGTACTGTGGCACAAAGCTTGCCCTCCCAAATGCTGTGTGGTCATGAATATGACCAGACCATTAAAGGAGAACCCTGGGGCTTCCACAAAAGGCAGGAAGCTCTGTGTCAACACTATGGTGAGGTCTTTGGTCCTAACGGAATAGAGACAGACCACTGGTCCCCATCTGAGCCCTGTGCTAGGGTCCCAGGCACCTCACCCTCCTGACCCAGGCCATTGACAAGGTGGATGCTGTCCTTCTCGGTAGGAGGCAACCATCTCAACAAACAGGTTCTCACTTGCCCAACCTCCTTCTCTGCCCATTCCTCCCTGGAGCACACCCGCCATTCAGACAAAGATGGACCCGCTCTCGGTGCCAGGCCTGGGCCATTCCTGGGCCATTGTCTCATTTCCCCTGGGCACAGTCACCAGGTCAGGGCTGGGCATGTCTCTGGGATTTCAGGGCTCCCAGGAGCTGGCTCCCTGGTGCCAAGGGTAAAAAATGTCCCCAAACTGGGTGGG